ACCATGTAAGGACAAAAAACAAACCTGCCTTTTCCCCTGGTTTTGGCCACTGGTCTTATGATGATGGAGCCAGCTCGCTCTGTGCCAGACTAACAGTGTCAGGCCCACACAGGGCCCTGGCACTGCTCCCCAGACAGGCACAGGTTGGTACAACTGCACTTCCAAAATGGGAAACAGCTCTCAAAACCAGGAATCCTTTACACACCCCAGCAGCAGAGCAACTCAGCTGCTTCCTCTCAGGTACCTGGGTTCATCCCTTGGAGGTTACCCTCAGCCTGAGCAAAAGCAGGACACAAAGACTGGAGCCAGGTCCCCAGCAGAGCTGGCTGGCCAGGCTGAAGTCCTCACAGCACCACCAATTAAATCAGCAACACATCCTGCTTCTCCCCAAGCTCTCAGGTTTCTCCCTTCAGGGCTTTTCTCCCTCTTTTAATATCTTTATGCTGTTTAACCTTTTATGCCCCTGATGGGTGCTAACAGGACCCACCTGGCTGGGTGCCTTGGCCGTGTCTCGCAGCAGGGCTGCCAGCCCCCCACCAGCTGTGGCCACTGGCTCTGCACCATAGTAAATAGCACGTAGCAGGAAGGCCGCACACAGCACAAACCTCGTGGCTAATTTGTTCTTTCAGCATGAATGGGTTTGAGCCTGGGTTTTAGCTGTTTTCCCAGCCTTCCTACAGCCCGGGATTGGAGCAGATTTGGGGAAGCCAAAGCCCTGGGTGGAGTCTCATCAGCTACACTGCGTGTAGGGGTCTGTCACGGTCTCCATCGTTGGTGGAGAAGGGAAAGGATAAGAAACAGGTTTTAGATGCGATGTGAGGCACAGTGACTTCTAACCACACTAGACAGTCACACACCGTGACCTTTTCTCCTTCCCCATCCCACTGTGACTTCTCTGCGGAGCTGGGGAGTGGGCTCTCGAGGCCTGCACTCAAATATCATTTCCAAATGATGCTCGGTGCCCTTTCTGCTGCTCTGGAGCCAGACAGAGGAAAAAACCCAGGTGGTAACCGGGTGAACCAGATTTGCCTGTGTATGATCTGGATGTAAGGTTCTTTTTTCAACGTAATGGCATAACACATCCTTGTGGCCCTGCTAGTCTGATACCGGGGGTGACTAATGCAGGATAGTCCCTAAGCTTCAGTACACCCAGCGCCTTTCCAAGTGCTGATTACAAAAGAAAGGCAAAAGCTTTGAGACAAGGGGATTACCCAAGATGCGTCTAAGCTGGAGCTCTGTGTCTGTTTGTCATGTGATAACTGGGTATACTGTATCCCCTGGGTATTGCATCTTGCTGGGGATATTACGCTCAGCTCGTGCTGTGTCCCCGTGTGGGTTGGCTGCGTACACCCCTCAGCTGTGGGGACCTGTCCGTGGGTGCTGTGTGGAGTCCCACGTGCTGTGTTGGGTTACACACTGCCATGACTTGAGCTTTCTCTATATGCTTTGGAACCTTTGCATGGCGTTGGTGGTCCAGGCTCTGGCATTTTGGGGCCAGAGGGCTTGTTTGCAACTCCCCATCCCTGCTCTGCACAGCACACAATGGCCGTTGTTTGCCTTCGGGGTGGGTGAGTAGCCTCTGGCTTGGGAGGAACAAAGCCTGGAGCCAGTTCCTGCGAACACAAAACATGCCTTTTTATCACTTCGTGACAAATTGGTTTGTCAGCAGCAGGAAGTGATGTTACTGCTGTCCTCACCAAGGGGAAACTCCTTGTGGTTTCCATGGGGATGTATGCAACTGTACAACTACAGGTTTATATAAGCTGAAAGCCCTACACATGGCCGCTGCATGCCGGGTTTCTAGGGGTCTTGGATCAGATAAGAGGGGCAGGGCCTCAGCTGAGCCCTGCTAGCATGAAGGGACAGCTCATTCGTGTGGGACCTGGGGGAAACAGGAATTCAATGCTGGAAACCACAGTGAAGTGTGTGCCTTGGTATCCCAAACAAACAACAGTGAAGCAGGGAGAATAAATGAGGGGTGAGAAATGCCTCCCTAGCGCATCCACAGCGGGCAAAGTTCAGCTCAGCCATGTTGCCAAGGCATCCTCCAGCTCTGTCATGCACGGGCTCTGCCGCTGCCTGTTTCAGCCCCTCGTGCCTCCTTGCGCAGCTCACACCTTCTCCTCTGCCCCCACCTCGCCAGCCACCCCGCTCCTTCCCCCTTTTCAGTGAACCCCCTAGCTGAGCCCATCCATCTCCCCAAAACTGTGACACTGAGGTGACGTTTGCAGGTCTCACTCTGATCTCTCTTACTTTTCGCTGTTGTTCCTGCCCCCTTATCCTCCCCTTGTTTGGACTGGGTGCGATCCTGTCCGCAGAGGCTTTGCAGGAATCTCAGCTCTGGGCACAATGAGACTCTGATTATGGGTGACAGCAGAAGGCTCACGATAAAGACTTGGAAAAGGGCATCGCATGTCCACAGAGCTGGAAGTGCCTGTCGGTGCCTCGCTGGGACCGAAGCCCTGCTGTCACTGGCTGCCTTTTCCGCAACGGGCTTTGTGCTGAAGCAGCTCTCTTTTGCACCCCTCTGTCAGGTGCCTGCTTAGGTTATAAAAGCTGATCAGCTGCCAGGTAATGAGTTTTATTGTTCCAAGAAACACATAAACAAGCTCCCCCGGCTGACGGGGAGCGGATTTCTGTTTGAATTGCGATTAACAGGCAGGATTTTTTTATCAGTTGCACGGCCAGGGCTGCCAAGGTTGTATTTTTCCACTGAACAAGCTCTGCTTTGCTTTGAAGGTGAAAGTTTGTTCCACTGTTTACTGCAGGTGCAAAAAGGCTCACGTACTCAGAAATAGCCTTGCACACTTTACAGGGAAAGCAGCAGTAGGTGCAATCCCATGGAGCAGCACAACCTGCCAAGGGACTTTCCACGGACAAAGGGGGTTTGCAGGATTTGCGGGATGGGACAGACTTTGGGGAGGAACATTCCCTTTGAGGTTCATGCACACTTTAGAACAATAAGGGTTTCTAACTTTGTTTCTTAGTGCCCAGGGATCTCTCCTCCTTTTAGCTGCTCCATTTTTTTTTATCCCTCGGTGTCAGGTTGAAGCTTGGCGATGGTTAACGCGTAGCACTGACGACAGAGCTGCGTCGGAGGGGAAGCTCACGTGGAAGAATTTCAGACACAGCAGTGCATCATCCCATCCTTCAAGGGCACCTTCTCCCAAGAGAAGAGTCCTGGATTTTAGCACCATTTTTTAGCACCTCCAAGTAACTTGCAGGATTTCAGGAGTTTGTGGTGCTTTGCTTGTCTCCAGTTACGTGACAAGAGCACAGCTGCTTTACACTTAAAAAAGCCCTCATTGGTAAAGTTAGGACCAGAACTGCTAAAATGCCTTGATTTTACGCAAAGAATCATAACCTGCTGCATCTGCCCAGGCAAAACCATTTCTGATGGGGCAAAAGTAGGAGCCAACTCCTTGAAAATCAGAGATGCAAGGACTGGTGGCTCCCTTCTGGAGTGGATGCAGGACACACGATGTCCTAGTGCTCCCCCAGCATCCAGCTCCCCGCCACCAGCATTAGTACCCTGCCTAGCAAAGCAAGCTTCCAGCTGCCTTTCTTCCACATTAGCTTCCCCTAGTAAGGGCACATCACAGCAACACTGCTGCCCCCATACGCATCCTGCCCCACACAACCCATGGAGATGTCCGGTTCTATCGCACCACGCAGCATTAATCCTGCACCATTTGCTGCCCCTCACCCTGCAGCTCCTGCCTGTGAGCTGCCAGGAACACTGGCTTGTAGAACTTCCTTGCCTGGCTTTTGATATGCTACATAAAACTCTTTCCATTGCCCCAACTGAAGTGCCAGGTAAGTCACACCAGCGAGAATCTGCAGCAGAAGGTATTTTCTTACCAGGGCCCAAATAAATTGTCTTGTTGGTTACCTGATCGCTTGTTATGCCCTGATTTGTTTACAGCGATAGCCCAGCAAGCCAAATACTTCACTCCAGGGATCAGAGACAGTTTGAGTTGCAAAAAGGAATCAAGGAGGTAGGGCAGAAAGAAGAAAACACCTTGGCACAAACTCACAAGCATTGGAGATCTGTTACCAACAAGTTAATTTTTAGATTTAACCTTTGGAGCATTAAAAATAAACAAGCAATAAAGACACTTTTTCCTAGGAGAAGGCCTATTTTAAATTCACTATAACCCCATGCCCAAGTCTCAGCCAGTTTAAACTGTTACAGCCCTGTGGCCATCACTGCAGCCACATCTACCTAACAGCTGAGAAGCCAGCCTTGGGTCTTTGCCACTGCATATAGTTATGTTGTTTAAACCTATTTTTCCATCTAGTTCAGTCAAGACCTGAGGTCAGCGGAGTTGACAATTCAGATTTCTTAGAGCTCTTCACCTGGGAGCTTCCACATGAGTTTTGTGACTGTAAAATGGAAGACTAAAGAATGTATCATCCACCTCAATAGAAATATCATAATTTATTCTTTGTATAAAAAAGTTAATCATGTAACAAAACTATGTCTTCATAAGAAGAAATATATTATTTCACATCATAAATAAATCAGCAAACATACAACCCTTGGCAACTCAAAAAAGCACTTGCCTGGTGCTTTGTCAGTGCTTGGGAAACAAGAAAAGCTGACATATATACACAGGATTACAGTACCAAAAAATACTGAGGTATTTGGTTTCTCTAGAAATGAAACTTTAGGTTTGTGAAGGCAAAAAACAATGCACTAATGTAAAAATAAATAAATAGGACTGTCATAAACGGGGACAGCATCAGTGTTGCTCAGAGTGTCCAGGAATGGGAATACTGGTGAGCATGCTACTAAACATGGAGCAGGCTTAGAACAGACAGAAGACAAGGAGGAACAGCTCAGGAAGAGACAATGTCCTTTGATCTCTGTGTAGGCATCCAGATATTGGCTTTAAAAGTCAGCAGAAAAGTCAGTAACACCTATTTGTCTGGCATTGGGTGAGCTCTTCTCCATTTATGACACTGTTCTGGGATCCATGGATGGTTCCCCACAAAACACGAATGACTGATGACACTGTCCCCATAGTTATTGCACTTCTGAGACAGTAAGTCTGAGTTCTGACCATGTTTTCACCAGCTTTTTAGCAGCTTGGAGAAGTGGTAATGGGGCTCTGAAGATAGCTTAAAGCACTGGACGAGGTGTGAACAGGGATGGAGACTGGAAAGTTAAAGACCGTGGTGGTTGATGCTCCTCTGTCCAATACTGACATAGCAGGGCTACCAGCTTCTGCTGAGCAGTTAGGGGCAAGGACCTGCGACTCAAATTGAAGCAGCTGCCCCATGAAGCTGAAGTTTGGGGAAATGATGCTTCTTCTCTGCTTCACAAACTCAAAGGCTTCGTCCAGTTTGACTCTGTTGGTCCTCATGAGATAAGCAAGGCAGATGGTTGCCGATCGGGAAATGCCAGCCTGGCAGTGCACAAATACCCTTCCTCCATCATTTTTAACAGAGTCTGAAAGGATTAAAATACACAGTTAGCAAACAAGTCCCACTGCTTCCAGAGGTGGGAAAGCACAGGCTGCTGTTTTACATTTCTTTCATCCATCCTTTCCTTAGCCGAATAGGTGTACCCAGCGCTTTTGAGACAAAGAGAGCCTTTGTCCTGAGGGAACCAGCAGTCTAGCTATTTTCATTCCGGGCTCCAATTATACTAACAGCTCCTCCAGGTCACTTTAGCAGTCTTGCAAGATTACTTTAATACTGATCTGCTTAAATTCACTAGCTCTTTTCTGCAAGACCAGTGCCTCTTGATTTAAGACTTCAAACAGCTTTGTGAAGCCAAGATTATTCCTCTGAGCAGAATAAAATCAATGGAAATGTTCCCTGAATATATCTCCCCAATGGAATGAGATTCCCCAATCTCAAATGTAGGTTTTACCAGGGAAAACAATGCCCCAAAATCACTTTCCTGGGTACATCACCCCAGGAAAAAGAACAGACTGTAAAGAGAGCTCATTTACCTATGAAATCAATCGCCTCATTAAACCAGGAGCTGATATCTGCCTTGTGGTTGTCCTCCACGGGGATACTTTTATACTGGTAGTGCCCTTCAAAGTGGTTGGGGCAGTTCGCCGAGACATTGATTAACGCGGTGATCCCCAAAGCGTCCAGCATGTCTTTTCGGGAGGCATGGTAAGCGCTGCCCAAGTAGAGGAACGGCAGGATTTCCACTGGCCCGCCCTAAAACAGAAAGGACAGACAACCGGTTAACTTCGCCCGGCAGTTCGCAGACAGCTTCCCCCCTCCTTTCGCGGCGTAAAAGCGCCAAACTCCTTCGTCCTAACGCGGCGCCTGCTCGCTCCCGGGTCTCGCACGCACCCAGCGGAGCTGCCCGACCGCCCCCGGCCCGTCCCCGCTCACCTGGTCGTAGAGGGGGGTGCCGCAGGAGCTGCA